TTTTTTTTTTTACTAGACATGCAATGTACTCGGTAAAGACATAATTCAGAATGAGTTTGAGTGTCAGTGCTATAAATGGAACGACGTTTCCGCATCCCAGGGTCTCAAAAGTAAATAAGATAATTAAAATAACTATTGTTACCTCTATTACATAGGGAGATTAAGAAATTTAAACTATACACTGTATCAGAGGTCTTTGTAAACGTTAGAAAAACAGTTCCTCTTAGTATACAAAAAGGTTCCTGCTGTTTGAGTTAAGAACTTTCCCTCATCCTTCTTTCTTCATTTCTATTTCCATTGTTCTCTTCATTTTATTCTCATACCTTCTTTACTAGTATTGTCTTGGGTCTTCCTCTGAGGCTGTGGTAGAGAAATGAAGTGTGGCTGAATAGAAGCTGAACTAGAAGTAAACTCTGAAGCATTTCCAGAGGTAGAGACTGAAAGGCATGTAGGAGCAGAGTTAATCATGGACCATTGCTGAGACCAGGGTGCATGGCAAGGCCTTGTTACTCCCTGGAGCCAGAAAATGAAAGGGCTCACTTGGCTGAAGATGTAGGGCTTTTGGCAATGTTCATCAAAGTAAATCAATATTCCCACCTGTACCCAGGTGTTCTTCTGTTGTAGGCGGCACACCAGAGGAGCTCCTATATCACCCTGTGAGAAACAGAAAAGTGTTTTAGTTGTCCTAAAGAAATAGGAAATGATTTCAGTGTAGAAGAGTGTCTTTACCCCACATCTTTAATATTCCCTCATTTTGTCACCTTACAGCCAGCCTCCCCAGTAGTGTTCCTGGCTTCCACACAGAAAGTTAATTCATTTATCTCGGGCCCAAATTGTGTACAAGTGCTGGCTTGCAGGATGCTCAGGTGTCTTTTTTGCAAAATTCCAGGTTTTCCTGATTGACAAGAAGAAAGGTTTGTTTGGCTTTTGTTTCACTTTATTTTGTTTTAAATTTAGACTAAATCTGGGGGAAAATATGGCTGAAGAGAGACATAATAAGTGTTCTACTACTGCTCATGAGAGGACAGTACTCTCTTTCCCAGCAATGATTCTATCCTACCTCAATTCCTTCTTCATTACTTACCCCTCGTAAGAGACCAACTGGGTAGCCAGCAGTCATAGAGTTGTTTATTTTTCACTTGCTCCAGACTCTTCTCCAGGCAAATAGGTAGTATGCGAGGTTGAAAATGTAGTGGCTCCTTCAGAAAGAGCAGTCCAGGTCCTAGCGGTCCCTCGGGACCTATGTAGGGCATGGCATAGTGAATGCCTACAATGTGAGCTTGAGCTGAGTCCTGAAGATCAATAAGCCCCACTTGTACCAACCTGAAGGCCTCTGAGTTTTTTCTGGAGGAAAAATTTATCAAGAGTTTATTATTCCAAAGTGAAAAAAGAAACATTGATTTCACATAAACTGATGCCATCCTGGAGAACACAAGCCTATTCTTAGGCCTAGTCTATTTATTGACCCCAAATATATTAGAAATATAGGAAATATTAAAGATAATAAGCCATAGAAGACTTCTAGACTTAATTGACAGATTCAGTGGAGTAAATATATACTAGGTCTACACCCCAAAACCAATAGCCTCCTTGTACACAAATAACAGACTCAGTGAGAGGGAAATTAGGGAAATAATTCC